CACACACACACACACACACACACACACACACACACACACACACACACACACACTCACACACACATAAACAATCTGACCCTGTGGTGTGTTGCCGGTCGTTTCACCACAATGGCCACGTTGAAGCTTCTGCAAGACTTCAGCCTGCCTGTTTAGCCGAGTGGGTGAAAGCACAATGACGTTGACTCACAAAAGACCCCATTGACACAATCTCTTAAGGAAGCAATGATTCCCTCATGCACACAAACACACACATGTGCCTGCTCACCCCACTGCTACGTAGACCATGCCACAATATTACTCAATTTAATCCAGTGGACGGAGGCTGCCTGCAAAGCGCCTGCTCATTGCATAAAGCCACCCATTAAGCAACTACCAGTTTGCACATTGTGGCTAAATGCTTCTTGTTATTTAAGTGAAGAGATTAGAGTTGGGGCTCGCTCCTGTGCCACTGTGGTGCAAATTAGGGTCTTGACCTTTTGCTGAGACAGGAAAGTGTTGGCCCTTGTTAATCAGGTTTTGTGCGGTTTGAACTTTCAGAGAGCCCGAGCCTGCTTGTCGTGCACATAGATTTTGAATGATATGCTACTCACACAGATGCAGGTTAGGATCTGTACCTGCACTCATGCATAAGCAATGGCTTGAGTGCAGCGTTTAGCAGACATTACTATTGTCCTCATTATTCTAGTTGAGGGTCCCTCCCTTCTGTGGCCACATCTGCTTATCTGCCCCTGTGTAATCTGACCACTGGTACTGCACAGTAGCATTTGATGCCCACATTGAGTCTGGTGCCGTAACAGGTTTCTTCCAGTTATTGAGAGTTTTTTCTCTCCACAGTCGCCAAAGTGCTGCTCATTGTAGGAACTGTTGGGTTTCGCTATAATTTTTAAGGTCTTGACCTAACGTGCCTTGAGATAATGTATATTATGAATTGGCACGATACAAATAAAGTTGAATTGAAATATTTAATGGAGAATTAATCAATGCCAATTTTATTGATGGACACACGGCTTTAGTTGCTGTTCTCTGGTTTGAATCATAGTGTCATGAATATAAACTTCACTTTAGGCTGAAGTGCTTCCTCCTATAATTTCAGAAAATGCCTTTCGAACACAGTGCTTGATGCGAGGATGAGACACACATTTCGACAGATTAGTCAAATGAAGTCAACAGCCTCCAGAGTTTCCTGTTATTTAAGACCCCGGTCATCCCAAGCTGTTTGAACCGCCAGCACAGGCGGCCGGTGCCGAAACAGCTGAGAGGGACAGCTGAAGGACAGCAGAGGATGGGGGCGTCTTTGAATTGTAGACGATGAGGTGGTGTGATGATTAGAGGGTGTTGACCTTTTCAAATATATAAATGTCATCTTGTAGAGTAATCCCAAAGGATCGACTCTATGTTGGCCCTGAAAGGTTCCAGATGGTTTGAAACACTGGGTGGTGTACTAATTCATATTCAACCCATAAATGTAGATCATTTAAGCAGTATCTCTTTAATATCTCTTGGTTTGTGGTCAAGCAGAAAATCCAATGACATAAGTTTATGCATCGGCACATTGTGATGGGTACACTTTATTTTCTCCGCAAAAATAAGAAGGTTCAATTCAACTTTATTTCATTGTACTTGTATACATAAAACATATGGTCTTGTCATTCCAAGACACAAACATCAGACACTGAGAATGGAATTAGGATGTTGCTGGACGGTTATTACAATGAGAGAGTTTGTATTTTCTTTAGTTAAAGCTGTTTCAGCCTCGCATCCAGCCTAATAGGTATATTAATATGTTTTTACAGTGACCTAAGTCATCTTCACAAAACAAAAGTGGAAGAAGTTTGCCATCGTCCTGCTCTGTGAATTAGTTTCCTCTAGTCTGAGAGTTTGTTTCCTCCAGTTGAACCCACTAATCCTCTGTGGCCTCTATTTCATTGACTTTCTGCAAAAAGATGTGAGTGTACAAGAGACAGTCAAAGCAAACACTGGATGATAAAATGTGGCAGGGAGCATTATCAGTTCCACCTTTATGTATGTTTTTTGATAAGCTGTGGTGTCCTGTGATGAAGCAAGGCTTCCTGGGTGAGTAACGAGAAACCAGGCAGAACAATGGCGCTGTAGAGAATGGAGTCAACATCCCACAGGGAACAGATGGTAGTCCAGGAGAAAGCTGCTGGTTAAGTCCTTGATTTATTTATGTGTCTCAAAGGGACACTTGACGGATGAGTGTATTTTGGAGGGAGGGTTCAGTGGACAGTTTTGACAGGGGAAGGATGTGGTGCTTCAGGGGAGCAAGCTGAGCCTCGCTCTCTTGTAAATAATAAATGACTTCTGTGGAATTAGATTGTTTAGTGGCCTTTTTTGCCATTTCACCCTGTTTTTTGAACATCAAATAATTCATTAAAACTAAATGTGCTTTAAAAATTAACATTTGAACAAACATGAGTGTGATAAGAGCTACCTAAAGTGACAGAAGCCATCTTTGAAAGAACATTTATTTGACTTTTTAGTTCTGTCAAAGTCCCATCCACTAACATAAAGGAGGAGTCGAGATTTATGAGCACTAATGCATCCAGCCACTAGGGGACGATTGAGGTGCTTTGGCTTCACTTTATATATAGTTTAATGTTGGTACACTCTTCTTCAGATGGAAATTAATCAGATTTAATAACACTACATAATGTTTATACATCCAGTTTTACTTTACATCACAACCTTACATAAATGAATTGTCTAAATATCATAGTCTGCTCAGTTAATGTGTGTTTTTTACTTCTCTTCATTTGCTCAGCTCATCTCAGATTTGAGGTTATATATGAGGAGCATTTTGTAAGAGGATTGTTTCTGGGGTTTTCAATGAGGGAGAGGATTTGGTTTAGTTGCTACTTAAATGTCGAAAAGAAATATAAATAAATAATTATTCAAAGTAAATCATTTTAATACAGTGTCCACTGTATGTCTTAAAATATGTTAAAATACTCCATCTGAGGAGGCAAACTGAGAACAGCTGTGACAACAACCAGTGAGGTACTTAACCATAATGCTGGTGTCAAATTGCAATAGCACAGAATGTATCAGGCACTGATGTGCACAAAATTACTGCACAACACCAAACACTGGAAACTGTCAATTACAGGAAGGTGGTATGAATGTGAAGTCAGATTTGCTATTTATTTATTTATTTATTATATATTATTGGATTTGATTTGAAGAATTTTGCTTGTAATAGATTTACACACTCACACACATATATATATATATATAAAAGAGTATTCTTAATTAAAGCAGATATAGAAATAAATAATAATAAAGCTTTTAAATGGACCTTGAGTTGATAAACAGACCTGTTCTGTTTAAAAGTGAACTCTCAAGCTCAGCTTAGACCATAACGGTGGAGAATTGATGTCTATACTGTTGCACATGTGACAGTATAGACATCAATTCTCAATTAACATACAGCTGGCTTCTTCATTGATCAAAGAAAGGGTTCCTTTGAAAAAACATGTTAACATTTTTCAAAGCAGTTTAGCAGGGTTGTCTGTGTGTACTTTGCTTGTTCTCCCTATGTCTCTGTATTCTCCATGTACTCTGGCTACCTCCCACAAAGACATGCAGATTAGGGTTAGGTTAATTGGAGAATTAAATTTACTGTAAGTATGAAAGTGAGAGTGAATGGTTGTTTGTCTCTGTATGTTGGTTCTGTGTCACGCTGGCGGCCTGTCCAGGGTGTGCCCCACCTCTCGCCCAATGTCAGCTGGGGTATAGGCTCCAGGTCCCCCTGAGACCCTCAAAGCATGAGCCGTATGACTGGATAGACAGTAGTTTACTAAAGTTTCCCAAAGCCATATTGAGAACACACTAATATAGCAGTTTTAGGAAACCTGTGGATCAGGATGACGACATTAGAAGTGAGACTGTTCAGGACTCTGGACAGCTCCCACCCTCTGCCAGCCCCTCCAGCCTCCATCACAAACCGTGTGTCTGTGTGAAACAGTGGTGTTAACGAAACTAGGAAGTTATGTGACTTTAGAAGAAAGACACACATTTGAAGCACATGCTTTTCACACAGTTTAGTTAAATGTGTGACGGCCAACCTTATTACACACTCTGTAAATCTTGATGGAGGGTAATGTGTGACCTGGTACTGACGCTGAGTTCATGTGCTGCGGACGCAGGAATCGCTGGGAACATTTAAAGCACAGAGCCAATGTGTTTGCCAGTCATAAAACCTCTCTTCTGCTTTTCATGAGGTGCTGGAGCACACGTGACTCATTGGTGTTTCGGTTTCTCAATGAGTTGATTTTCTTTTGGCGACAAGGCTGCAAGAGCCCAGGATCCTTGAAAGCATGGGAATAACTTCATTTTGAAACTAGTTTAACTGAAAAAAAGAAATTAAAAAATCAGTTGCTGCTCTAACGCCAGGTTAATGACATTTATTTTCCAGGGCTGGTCCTTTGGGCATTTTATTACCACAGTGTACGTGTCTTTAAAGGAAGAAGAAAGTGAAGGGAGCAGAAGAAAAGAGGGACTGACTGCAACAGCAGGAGTTTTCTCACAGCTCGTCCTCTACCTTACTCTCTTCCAACTGCTCTCCCACGTCATCGCAGCTTCACCGAGATGAAGCTGAAGGAGGAAGTGAACCCCTTGCTGCTGCTCCTCTTCCACCTTATGGTATGGATCTACACCGCCATCACCTTCCTGCCATGCTACCTCGTCAGCTGGTTCTCGGTGCCAGAGGCAGGGTTCTGCGGCTCAGAGGAGGAGCGAGCCAAGAGAGCGAAGGCCCGCTCTGTGATGGGACATCCCGAGGGACCCTACAGGGCGCTGAGTGCCACCAAGACTCTGGCGACGTCGCTGCACCCGGGAGTGGACACCCTGGATAAGATGTTTGAGTTCGCAGCCACGAGGTTCCCCCACAGAGACTGCCTCGGGACGAGGGTGGTGATCACTGAGGAGGACGAAGAACAGAGCAATGGGAAGGTGTTCAAGAAGGTAAAATATCAATGTGTTAATTAAATTTATTTTCCATGGGAGATAAAACTGTATCCCTGACTGTACAGTGTGAATTGACCGTCTGAAATGATACAGGTCTGGATAAGAAAAAAGTTTTAGTTGAGATAGATAATGGCAACGTTTCCTCCATTGGAGTTCTTAAGTAGGTCCAAGAAATACCCATAATCCTATGTTCATTCACTTGTAACTGGGCTCATTAAACTTCACAGTGTAACAATGATTCTTCTAATCAGGGGGTTTGATACTAATGATGCTTATTACCATACCTTTAGTATTTGTATTAACAGTATTTCCCACATACCAATGATACTAAATTTCTGCCTATAAAACTATTTCCATGTGGCCCCATGGGTCTTAAAGGAATTAAAGGAATAGTGACAAGAGTATATATTGTATTAGTGCAAACAAATCCCACCAGAAGATCAAAAATCAAGGCTGAATGTCAATAGTAGTGTACAGTGAATGTTCAATGAAATCTGACCTGTCTCAGCCCAGTGGTAACAAACAAAAAGATATTGAGTAAAATGACAAGAAAATAAAAGTGAAATATGTAATTTAATTTGTTTTTTAAAGCAATGTTGTTTTTTGATAAAAACAAACAAACAAAAAAGTCAATAGTATATGACAATATGTGACAATAAACCAACAGAGTGGAAAAGAGGATATTTGACATTTATCTCATTATGTAGAAAATCCAAATGAGATTATAAAATATCAGCATTCCTCATTTTATCCAGCAAGCGAGGCATGCTTATGATTTTTTTAACCCTGCAACATCTCATCCCTCAAATATTCCTCTTGAATCTTCCAAACCTCCAGTGAAATGGTGATAGTCACTGTTAATGCTTCTGCTGACAGTTTGTTAGTCTGTTCAACGCCCTGGATTCCATTGACCTTACAACTGGTCAGAGGGGACAAGGATAGAGCGCAAAGTCTGAAGAAGAGAGAGAGAAATTGGTATTTGATCAAGAGTGAATACAGAAAAGGGAAAGGAGGAATAAGGGTTGTTTTATGAAACAACTAAAGTGAAAGGCAGACTGTTTTGATGGGAAATTAAAAAACTTTCTGGGAAAGTATTATTGGGTATTTGCTAATAATCACGTTGCCTGTGCAATCAGGAGTTAACTAAAGTTCAGTCTGCTAATCTCAACAGCCTGGTCCCCCTAATCATTTAAACCCACTGTTGAAACTGCGATTGATGCAAGAGTACACGTCTTAGCTGTTTGAGCTCTGCACAGTCATCATTACTCTGGGCCTGTGTGCACTGTGCACTTCCATTTGTTTACCATTAGGAGTCAGTATAAGCTCGGCTCTGACACGTGTCTGTGGCCGTGAAGCGTCTCCAGCTTGTGACTGAAGAGTATTTCCAGAGGCCTGTGTTTATCTTCAGAAGAGGAAGTAGTTCTGTTTAGAACAGCGGCTCCCTTTCCCGTGACTTTTTTTAATATGAAACAGACCCAACATGTGACTGTGGCAATTTAATACAGTAAACTGAACTCCTGTGGTCAAATATACCCACAAATTCATGATAGAAGAATTACAGGGACGTCCTCAAATCTCCTTTCTTTTTCACTAATAGTCAGCTGGGTAATGAGCTTTTAATTGTACTGACTGGAACATGTGTCCGTCCTTCCTGCTTATATCTTCCTCCAGTGTATTTTGCTCCAACACACACAAAAAAAAGAATTCTACTGTACTCCCACCTCTTACCCCCCTGCAGGTGGTTCTTGGTGAGTACTCCTGGCGCTCCTACCACAAGGCCCTCACAGCAGCGTCCCAGCTGGGCAGCGGCCTGGCATCGTTGGGTCAGAAGCCAAAAAGCAACATAGCCATCTTCTGTGAGACGCGAGCAGAGTGGCTCATCGCTGCCGAGGCCTGCTTCATGTACAACTTCCCATGTAAGTCCAGGACCTCTGTGAGTAAGAAATGAAGCTGCGTTATTTATCTGGCAAATGCATCAAGGAGATGTATTTTAGTGTCCATGGGTATCATGAGGCAACAGTAAAGAAGTACTTTGAACTTAAACCGTACTTTCAGAGTTTCTTCAGTTTATTGTTTCTTACTGAGCATCTTCCAAATGTTTCTGAATAAGGCTGATTTATAGCTCTCTCTGTGTGTGTGCGTGTGTGTGCGTGTGTGTGCGTGCGTGTGTGTGCATGTGCATGGGGACAGCTTGTGACATGCAGGACCCAGCTGAGACAGAAGAAGGTCAATTTGTCCCTTCTGCCTCGTCGTTATATAAGTGTCCCATTTCTCCTCATTCCCTCCATTTTTACATCCGTTTGATTTTCCTGTGATGGAAGAACTAATATGTAAAGTACATTATATTTCATACAGTGAGGTCACTAACATTGGCTGTAATGAATCTAATATAATGAACTCATCAGCTCCCCAAACAGTTTCTGGTTTCCTCAGGTAAACTCAACGTTACATTAGCACAGGGCTGATATAGCTGCTTACAGTGTTACAGGAGGTTTATGTTTTCATTGCTGAAATGACTGAACTGATTTTCCATTATGTAGAGGGGTGGGGTCTGGGCCACGGATGAACCCATAAACCTTTGGAGGAGATTTGATCAAGGGGGCGGATCCTGGATTTTTCTTTTCTTTAACATTGCAAGACGGGGCCTGAGCCTTGACAGACATATGTGCTCTCCGAGTGTCCTCCTAGTTCGAGCTGTGACAGCAAAAAATGGCAAAATTACTAATAAACTAGAATATCATAGAAGACATCCTCCAAGGCCCAACAGTTACCTCATGAAACCACTTTTAAATTCACTACATCAGTTTTTTTATTTGTATCTGCACTAAATTGCCCACGCTTCATGTAATCCTGCTGAAAAACAAGCAAACGTTACCTCCAGGGCAAAAGTAGTTTAAAAATTTTTTTTTTAAAAAACCTTTTTTAATGTTTGTGATGTTAATGTGAGCAGCAGCTCTGGGAGTCCATGCTGTCCTCCTCTTTGATATTTCTTTATTTATGAGCGTCCACAAAAGTACTTTATGTTCATTAAATCTTTCTGATTGTCCTTAAAGAACCCCTCATGTTCTCTGTGTGCTTCAGTTTATGCTTCATTAAACTGTCGTGCTTTGGAGATACGTAAGCACAAGCATATAAAGCGTCCTTATAAAGCATCTCTCTCTCCCTCTCTCTTGTGCAGACACAAACAGTGGAAAGCCCAGGGCAGCAGATAACACATAGTGAGTGTGTGTGTGTGTGTGTGTGTGTGTGTGTGTGTGTGTGTGTGTGTGTGTGTGTGTGTGTGTGTGTGTGTGTGTGTGTGTGTGTGTGTGT